ACTTGTACACACACACACACACTCACACACACACACACACACACACAATCAAATCAGAAGCCGTTGTGATATCTGTGTTACAGCTGATTTGCAGTCATTTCTTGACAGTCGATCGTGACTGCAGTGCTTTTGCTGTAAATTGAACATAACATAAATGAAATCACCGTTTTAACATTAACCATATGTACTTTTCGGAAGGTTGATTATTATCCATTATTGAAGAGCACAATGAAACCGACAGAGTGTGAAACCGTGTGAAGCCCAAATCTTTGACACCCCAAACAAATATAATGCAGTTTTCTAGTGGATGATTTCTTGTTATTGAAAATGCATATTTTTTGTTGGTGCTCATAAACAGATTATAATTGTATGCTGTTCTAACGAGTACGGCAACCAGTGTATTCTTTAAAGTACATACTCATAAATATATGATAATCAGTTTAGTAGCCCGTTTTAAAATGTGTCATGCTGTTTCGCCGCTTTTTAGAATCAATAATGTAGTGAGCAAAAGCCTTTCTAGACCCCAGAAACTTTCTCTCATCCCGCTTCGTGAGAGCGTCACCGCCCCATCCAAACTCACTTCACTAGAAGGACTTTTCAAACGGGCTTAAGTTCTGCTGAACGCAGGCGTGTCGCGGGGAATTCTCTAAAGTAGCAGTAAAGTACCTAATATTAGCAACTTATATTTTTCTCGGCTGATTAGCGCACGTTACACGGCGAGGCAGCGGGTCTCTATAAGGAAGCGGAGGCTCGTCGTCACGTCATTCGGCAGGAAACGGTCTTTCCTCCCGGAGAGCTGCGCTCTTTTCCGCTGGCTCAATGCGCCTCTCCGTCCAGAACCCGCGGAAGCCAGCCAGAAGGAAAAATGCCTCCTTCTCCAGCGGACAGACGCTCTCTGCGGCTCTTAGCGGCGGCTCTCGCCGTGTTTCTAACGGCTCTCCAAGCGCGCACGGCCGGTGCGCTCCAGATCCAACAGGCGTTCGCGTCTCCCAGCCGCACCAATAACTTCGTGGTGGACGCGGTGTCGCGTCGCGTTTACCTGGCCGCGGTCAACACCCTGTACCAGCTGAACTCCACGCTCGCCAGGGAGGTGGAGACGCGCACGGGACCGGTGCTGGACAACCCGCTGTGCCACGCGCCGCAGCTGCCGCAGGCGACGTGCGAGCACCAGAAGACGCTCACCGACAACCACAACAAGCTGCTGACGCTGGACCGCACGCAGGGCGTGCTGCTGGCCTGCGGATCGGTGTTCCAGGGCTTCTGCGAGCTGCGCGCCATGGACGACGCGTCGCGGCTGGCCGTCAGGTTCCCGCAGGACGGCGCCACCGTGTTCCCCAGCATGCTCAACATCGCGGCCAACCACGAGAACGCGAGCACCGTGGGGCTCGTCTTCCGGAGTCACGGCGGCGCGGCGCGGCTGCTGGTGGCAGCGACCTACACGGGCATGGGGAGCGAGTATTTCCCCAAGAACCACAGCAAAGAGGACCTGCGCTTCGAGAACACGCCCGAGATCGCCATCCGCTCGCTGGACATCGCGGACCTCGGCCGGCTTTTCACCTACGACATAAACCCCTCCGAGGACAACGTGTTCAAGATCAAGCAGGAGGTCAAGCAGAAGAACAAGCTCAGCTTCGTGCACGCCTTCGTGCACAAGAGCTACTCGTACATCGCCATCAACAACGACGCGAACGCGGGTGTGAAGGAGAGCCAGCCCAACAGCATCCTGGCGCGCATCTGTCTGGACACGGACGCACCGCGCAGGTCCGCAGAGAGCCGCAAGCTCACCGAGTCCTACATCCAGATGGGCCTCCAGTGCGGCTCCAGCGGGAACATCTACAGCCGCCTGCTCTCCATCTACCCCGCGGACATCAGCAGCGGCGGCGCAGCGGGCGCGGAGCCCCATCTGTTCGGGGTGTTCGCCCAGGCGGGCGGCCGGGCGGCCGTGTGCGCCTTCCGTGTGCTGGAGGTGGAGGAGAGGATCCGCCAGGGCCGCCGCAACTGCTCCAGCGGGCCCAACAGCAACGTGCAGGTGCTGGACAGCGTCATCCAGGGCTCCGGGGCCGAGTGCGAGCATAAGGGGGCCATCAAGGTGAGAGCGCGCTACAGGAGCCTCCGTGATCATAACACAAAAATTCACACATGAGCAGTGCGTCTGCTCTGAAAACACGCTGAAGTCATGCTTTATACTTTAATGCACATTAACCAATGAGCATGATTACGAGTATAGTTTACGTGGAATATTTGCGCTTTTAAAAATTAATAATTAACAGGACCACTTCAAATTGTAAAAAACAAAACAAAAAAACCCTGTAAAATTAAAAGGGAGACTAGAAATAGCGGCCAATTCCAGCACATAAATTAAACCCTTCATTTCATAAGGATTTGAACGTAAATGCCATGACTGAATGGCCTTTAAATATCAAGGGTCAGTCAAAAAGTTGCAAAACTTAATAACTGCCCCAAAGGCCGTCAGGGACATCATGTGTTTCATTTACTTCACGTATGATACGGTTATTACCCGATCTCATGAATGTGCGTTTCAATGGCACGATTGTTCTATTTAGCACATTATTTACACGCAGAAACGGACTTTGGCGTGCATATGATACACAATTGGTAGGTTTAGGGGTGTGAGGTAGGTGCGTATTTTATGCACGCCAACAAAGTTCGTATCAAATGCACGCAAAAACTGCATATTATATGCACGTCAAACATGCGCGTATCGTATGCACGCCAAAGTCCGTTTCTGCGTATAAATAGCATGTAAAATAAAAATATACATATTTCGTGCTATTGATAGGCATTTTCATGAGACCGGGCTCATGCTCAGACTCTAGTGTGGAGTTTTCTAAAACCAGCTTCTGGTAATTTCTATCTGGGTTATAAACCCAACTCTACAAAATTACAGTCGCATTTAAATCGCAGCCAGCATTTTTCTGTTATCTTTAAAACACTGTCCACATTTATCAAGTAAAACTCAATTATTTTACATTTAGGAGGATATCATAATAAACCTAAAAGCTTTCATTAGTGCTTCATCTCAAATGTACGAAAACTTACTTTTGTTTAACATGTTCATGAAATAATGAGCTATGAATGATCACTAATAGAGTAAGACAGAAAAGAAAAAAAATAGAGTAAGACAGAGCTGCCAGAGTTAAATCTCTTTTAGTGTGCTGTGACACAGATATTAGTCTTCAATGTGAATGATTTCTGAAGTTGATGATGTGTAGAGCAGAATCGAAAGCTTGGCCCATCTACAGAACTGAATGTCTTTATGTTTTTTGTTAGTTAGTGAGTGAGTGTGTGATTGTATTACAGCCTCATGATATACTGTGAACTCAAGACTGCGGTTAAGATCAACATAATCCAGCTTTTTTAAATGTATGGCCGATCATACTGTACATGCACATCTGAGGTGAAGTCCATGTAATATGAAAAACCTTTATCATTTGCAGCAAACGGCCGTGAAGCAGCTTCTGGAGCAGCTCGTTTCTGAAAACATGCCGTTTTTATTATGTGAACATGAAGTTTTATAAGAAGCACATGCACGTCTGGTGTTTATTTAGTGTTGCTTTTGTGCTGTTGTCTTTGTTCTCATGTATCTCTTTTTACGTAACTGAGCCTTTCCCATAAGGCCACACTCAGGCCTCCTCGAGCCCTGCTTTCATTGCTCGTGCTCGAGTCTAATGACATCACAGCACAACTGGGTTTGGGTTATGAGCAGCGTAACACTGCTCTGCTCAGTGTGTCTGATAGATTGCAGTCTGCAGGAGCGCAAGAGGTCACGGCGCTCAGGGGGAGAAACTTGTGAGAAAACTCCTCCGCTGAATTCTTTCTCTCCTGTCACCCTGCCATGAACCTCTCGCTCTGCATGCGGGAAAACACACGTGCTTTAATGATGAACCCGTCGAATTCAACAATAGATTCATCAGCGTGTTAGAGGTTAAAGACAGCTGCATTCTTCATCAGTTCTGATCATTCTCAGGCTAATTGCTTATTAGTGGTGTTAGATACGGCAGGCACTGCTGTTGTTCGTTTTTAGGGTTTTGGATCTGAGTAACCCTTGACCCTCAGTAATCAGACCCGTCATGTGCGTCTGTGCTACAGGCGGCGCTGTTACTGTCTAAGCCACTTACGCAATGAACGGGTACAAACATCATAAAGAGCCATAGACATGAGAATATCAGAGTTAATGTCACTCACTTCCGTGCATTCTGTGTTCCAGCTTCAGGAGGAGCAGCTGAACTGTGGGGCCGCTCACCTGCAGCACCCGCTGGCCCTGAGGAGGCCCCTGAGGGCCCGACCCATCTATGAGGCCCCGGGCCTCAGCTCTATTGCCGTGGACAACGTCCACAACTGCACCGTCATGTTCCTGGGGACCAGCAGGGGCCGACTGCGAAAGGTGAGGTGCACATGTATAATTAGTGTTATACCAAACACCAGAAATGTGTGAAGCTACACACTCAGGTGGATCGTGTGAACACTAGACAGTGATTTCAAAGTCAAAAGTCAAGTCATAGTTTGTTTATAAAGCACTTTAAAAACAACAAGTGTTTACCAAAGTGCTGTACAAGTGTACTCAATTTAAAACAATAAACACATAAAAAGTCATGAGATCAAACCCTCAGCTGTACAGGAACACACTGCATCACCAGCTGATGGAAAGTCTCTGTTCAACCACAATAAACCTGCGGATTACCAATAGTAAGAATGATTGCAGCCTGTGATTGAGAGGCTGTCAGGAACGGTCTGAAATCTGTTGTTGAAGTCAGTGATGGTTTGATCTGCTTGGTAAAGTGGACATGAAACTAGGGATGCACCGATATGAAAATTTTGGCCGATACCGATAACCGATTATTCTTTATTTTTGAAAGCCGATAACCGATATGTTGGCCGATAAATCTATATCCAAATTGTTATATACTTTTTGAGAGCCTGATTACAAAAAAGGTCTCATCATTAAAAGCCACATCCCAAACACTTCAACATAAGCAGCCTAGTTTGAACGGTGTACTTTTTAAAATATTTTTACTCTCCCATTACCAAATTTAGTCATAAAAAAGTCTTACAAATAAATAAAATTATGCATAAATAATGCAAACAAGTCACTGGACATCATTACGTGTAAAGAATCAAAATGAATGCGCCATAGATCAATAAAACAGAATAGCCTCTGCACGGACAATAATTAAATGATTTTAATTACTAAACCATATTGTTGATGAAAATAATAAGAGAAAAATACAAGTGGTTGTTGTTATTAATAATGTATCAATGATTTTGAAAAAGTAACAAATTAATACCACTGTTTTAAATAGCAGCCGTTGAGCTGCGCGTGCTGAAGCTGAAGAGCTGAATGAACACGGTAAACTGAAGCGTTTTGCTGGCAGCTTATTTAACTCCAGGAAATGCATCCTGAGATTAATATTAATACAACATAAACATAATATTACAACTTATATATGTACAAAATGATGCAGTTATTGCATGCTATAGTCAGAATGTGTGATCCTGTTGTGGATGCGCTCTTCCCATAACAACGCGCTGAAACACAGCAACTAAACCCAAAGAATGCACAACGTTTTATTATAATAATGTTCTCATTAGAATGTTATATACACGACATTCCCAATCATAGTTATTAATGTTGTGCACTGCTGTTTGAGCTGCGTGTGCTGAGCTAAAGATGATCACCGGTAAACTGAAGCGCTCTTTTAACTTAACCAAACGCATTCTATATGAGATAAATCAGATATACATCAAATAAACACAATATTACAATGTACAATTGCACAAAAGGCTGCAAACGAACAGCGCGCATCTAAAGTGTCTCTGAAGGAAATAATGCATTATTTATCAGCTTTAAGATATCGGCCAAATTTTCTTATCAGGCCGATACCGATAACAGAAAAAATGAGCCGATATGGGCCGATACCGATATGGTGGCCGATATATCGTGCATCCCTACATGAAACAGAAGTTGCAATAACTGTTGTGATGGATATCTGAGTGAAATGGCTTGATTCTGTCCATTGGGATTGGATTGGATGGTTGTGGTTTGCTAACTGCTGTGATCTCGTGTGAGTGACAGGCTGCTGGAGGAATTATTGTCGAGTCATTGTGGATTATTGTCATATGATCAAAGATGGTCAAAGATGTTGTTGCACGAGGAGAAGTTAATGTTTTGATTAAAGATTATAAAGACACATTAATTAAAAAAAATATATGGATAATTCATTCACAAGAAAAAAAAGTTTTCCATTTTGATTTCATTGGGAACTTTAAGTCTGGCATCACACATCACCATTTCCAAGTCCAAATGCTGTATGAGATCCTAAAAGCACACAACAGACGGTGCTAATATACACTCACCGTGAACAGATAATAAAGCTAACACAAATACCTGAATAAAAACGTAATAAACTTGCCAAATAACTGCTTGGTAGTATACCATACTGATGCATCCCTAATACAGTATATACCAAACCAGAATGTATATATACCATATGAAGTCTCTTAAAGATGACAGCATGTGTATTTCATAAGTGCAGTGCCGTGATGAAATGAAGTGCTGTGAACACACACAGCACCCATGTTACAGCACATAGAAACACACCGCTTCAAATATTTGATCATATGCTCTTAAGGGTGTTTGCCCTGTACACAAACCCTGTGTAAAGCATTCCTGGTGGTCCAGGCCACATGTCCTGCTGCTGTCTGTCTTCTTTTGTGTGTGTGTGTGTGTATGTGTGTTTGTTGTGCTTCTGCACACAGAGGGTTGGTTGTAAAGGGCTTCCAGCCATATGAGATGCGCTCTGTTATCATGAGCCTCTTTCCCTCTTCAGGAACTAGTGTCCTTTCAGTGTCTGTTTACACAAAGCGCTCAGGTTTTGTGTCGAGGAGCTGTGTTCTCTTCAGGTGTGTTGTTCAGCGCTCTAGGTCCAGGTACACAGCAAATTTAAAAGAGTGAATTTAACTCCCTCAGAGTTAAAATTAGCACTTACCCAGAGTACATATGGGAACCACTGGTAAACTGTTAAATTAACATTATTAACACTCTGACAGTGTTAACTAACACACCAGAATGGATGATGAGAACACCAAAGTTGGTGTTCAAAGTTAACACTCATGGATTAACTGGTCAACACTGCACCAGTGTTCAGGTGAAAATATACAAAAAAATAAACCCACAAAACAATACACGTTTACATTTATTTATTTTATTGAAACGTTGTAAATCTTTTTCCCTGCACCAAAATTTCTTCACTTTCAATGTTTTCAATGCAAAAAAAATAAATGCAATTCAAAATGTCAATGTAAAGAACATGTTCTTACAACAATTAAACATCATAATGTCAAAGCAAATCTGTGCAAAGACACAAAAAACATATTCTTATTTGGTCCATATGTACTCTTAATGTCATAAGGTTTATAATGCTGACATTTATCAGGTTAAACAACAGCATTCCATTCATTACCATAAACGCTGAATGCATGTTGATGCTCACTAATCAAAGTCTGTGCTGGTGTTTGAACCTCCTTGGAGAGTCTCATCAGCACGACGAGATACGTTTCTCTGCAGTTTTCAGCCAAGCAAGATATCCACTCCTATTTGCAACATCACAAAACTGTCCCTGTAAAATTAAAAAAAAATTAATAATAATAAATTAATTAATTAATAAAAATATTTTAAAAAAGAAAAACAGGATAATTTCACATTCATTTATCAAAACTATTATCAGGTATAATGACAGAGACAAGTATGAATTGCAATACAAGAATAGTTCCCCCAAAACTGAAAATTCTGTCATTTATTTATCCTCATGTGGTTCCAAACTTGTATGACCTTCTGTCTTCTGAGGAATACAAAAAGTTATATTTTGAATAATCTACATAAGAAATACATGGGACCACTCTGAGACATTTGCATCTTTTTTAAAAGCTTGATATTGATTGGCATATACTGACATTATAAGGACAAGCAGGTCCGAAAATGAAAAAAGGACATACAGTGGGTACGGAAAGTATTCAGACCCCCTTAAATTTTTCACTCTTTGTTATATTGCAGCCATTTGCTAGAATCATTTAAGTTAATTTTTTTTCCTCATTAATGTACACACAGCACCCCATATTGACAGAAAAACACAGCATTGTTGACATTTTTGCGGATTTATTAAAAAAGAAAAACTGAAATATCACATGGTCCTAAGTATTCAGACCCTTTGCTCAGTATTTAGTAGAAGCACCCTTTTGATCTAATACAGCCATGAGTCTTTTTGGGAAAGATGCAACAAGTTTTTCACACCTGGATTTGGGAATCCTCTGCCATTCCAATATTGTTAAGAGTGAAAATTTTAAGGGGGTCTGAATACTTTCCGTACCCACTGTACATCATTAGAACAACACAAGGGTGAGTAAATGATGACTTAAAGGGTTAGCTCACCCAAAAATTAAAACTACCCCATGATTTACTCGCCCTCAAGGCATCCTAGGTGTATATGACTTTCTTCTTTCAGATGAGTCCAATCAGAGTTATATTAAAAATGTCCTGGCTCTTCAAAGCTCTATCATTGCAGTGGCCGGGTGTTTCTGTTCAACAGTCCAAAAGAAGTGCAATAAAGTGCATCCATCCATAATAAAACATTTCTCTATCTCTAAACGTTGTATGTGGAAGCCCTTCCGGGCGGATGACGTAGGATGTCAGCGAAGCGCATGCGCCGGAGAGAAGTGACGAATGCGGAAGAGCAGAGGAGAGAGCAAAACAAACTATTCATGAATTAGAAGTACAAAACAAGGATTTGTAAAGAGAAATGTCGGAGGATTTCAGATTTTCAGCCAAGAGTAGACTGGAGACTTTGCCAAAGTAAGGTAAATTTGCTTGCTTTGCTCCTGTAAACAAACGTTGGTTCTTGCTAGACTAGCATATTCTCACTGGAGCTAATGCTACGCCAAAGTCCTACGTCATCCGCCCGGAACGGCTTGCGCACACGACAGTTAGCGCAAGCTAGAGGAGTTTAATCATGGGATAATTTTAATTTTTGGGTGAACTAACCCTTTTATTTTCATTTTTAGGTGAACTATACTTTCGGTGTTTTTCTTGTTAAAACCAACTTCCCTGTCTGCTCCGCATCGTGTGTGAAAGGAAATATCACTCTGAGAAAAAGGTTTAGGCGTGTACACTACATAAATATCACTATAAATCAATATTATGTTATAAAATACATATTTTAAATTAGATAAAAACACTTAATTTCGGATTTTCCCTTTTAGAAAAAAAAAAGTCCTAGTCTGTTCCGCATCGCGAGTGAAAGGAAATGTCTTTGAGAAAAGTTTAGGTGTACACAGCACATAAATATCGTTATAAAACGATATGATATTACAAAACACATTTTGTTAGTAAGACAAAACACTTTATTTTGCTGTTTTCCATCCTTATACGCTCTGCATCACGAGCAAAGAAAATGGCGTCTGTGAAAAATATTTCAGTGTCTAATAACACTCAACAGTGTTAATAAGGTTTACTCTCCGTTTTTACACCGGCCAGAGGGTGCTGTTTACACCAGCTAGTGTTAATCCTTTAAAATTCAACACCACAACTTTAACTCTTTACTCTGAAAGTCCTTAAAGGGGTCATATGATGCGATTTCAAGTTTTCCTTTCTCTTTGGAGTGTTACAAGCTGTTCATGAATGGATAAGATCCCTAAAGTTGCAAAGACTAAAGTCTCAAATCCAAAGAGATATTCTTTATAAAAGTTCAGAGTCAGCCACGCCTACCTAAAACGGCTCGTTCTAACACGCCCCCACATGTCTACATCACTATGTGGGAAGATTTGCATAACGCCGCCCAAATGTTCACGCAAAGAAAGAAGGCGTAACTTTATTGTTGCTGCCGCAATGTCAGGGAGATGCTGTGTGTTTCGTTGTGAAAGTGCAACTACTTCGTTTGGTCTTCCTAAAGAGGACACGACTAGAAATCAGTGGTTAAGTTGTATTTACAACACTGTTCCAGAACACTTCAACCCAAATATTCAGATGTGTGCAGCACATTTTATGGAGGACTGTTTCCTGATCCTGGGAGAGTACACTACAATGCCGGCTGTTCTGACTCACAGCCTGTAAGTACGTTTTCATATTTAAAGGATTTTCCACTGACGATTCAAACGCTTGGGCAGTGTAGAGTAGCACTTGTTGTTTGTCATTTCTCCGATCACAAATGCAGACATGGTTTTATGTTGCGGCGCGATACGCAACGCAACGCGTAAAAAGACCATATAAGTCATTATAATCAGTAATTATATCCCCACTGGATGCAACGAATGCCTCGTTTATAATGGGTTTTCATGTTTTTGTCTCATCGCTCCGGCCGGACAGGGCATCATCACAGTATGGTGAGGGGCGTAATATTTCCGTCTCATGCTTGAGGTATTCGGCCAATCACAACGCACTGGATAGCTGGCCAATCAGAGCACAGCTCGCTTTTCAGACCGATGAGCTTTGTAAAAATCAACGAGTTTCAGAAAGGTGGGGCATAGAGGAGAAACGATAATGTACAGTATGTGGAAAATAATGTGTTTTTTTAACTTTAAACCGCATAAACACATTTCATTACACCAAATACACAAAATAATGTTCTTTTTAGCAGCATCATATGACCCCTTTAACACTGGGATTTTACTGTGTAGTTCCTGTAGTAAATCAGCTGTGGCTCCACTATGGGTTTCTGGACATGTTAACTTGTAATTACTATGCTAATTATAGTTATTCAGTTCCATAGTATATATGACCCTGGAGCACAAAACCAGTCATAAGGGTCAATTTTTTGAAATTGGGATTTATACATTATTATGATAGGACAATATTTGACAGATACAACTATTTGAAAATCTGGAATCTGAGGGTGCAAAAAAATTCAATATTGAGAAAATTGCCTTTAAAGTTGTCCAAATGAAGTTCTTAGCAATGCATATTACTAATCAAAAATGAATCCTCTACCACTGTCCTTTACCTTTCTGCTTTTTAATGTTGTCATTAAAGCATTATTTAGTGTGTTCATGGCTGCTGAATTCAGTTGTAGGGACGTTTGCTCCTCACACTGTAGGAGAAACATGAGCCACACAGTTACTCACACTGGCTAAAGATTATTCATGTGCACACGGCCTTAGAAAACATCTGCGAGCCTCAACCGTCTGAACAAAGGAGCTGTGATTAGGGCCAGATTCCAGGAAGGTGTGTCAGTCGCTCAGATCCAGCTCTTTGAGAGTGTTTCATTCACACAGATAAGATGTATCTGGCTGCGGGGGTCTCGTGCGAAGAGCTCAGAAAAGGCTTTTTGTTTCCCTGCCAAAACACAGGGACGGCGTCTGCTCACACGTGTGTGTGTGTGTGTATGTGTGTGTGTGTGTGTGTTTGAGAGAGTGTAAACTAACACACCTACATCAAATCTACACAGATGTGTCTCTAGAGTTGTACTGATGGTCTCAGGCAGTAATAACATGTTATTTATGCTGGTATAAACTGTGCTCATACAGTTTATAGTTTTATATTGTATTGTTAATGATATATTGTTATTGTTACACTATTGTTACGCCATGTAATGTCAAGGTACAGTAATATCATGGTGCGTTCTGGTAGTTTTACATGTTTATTTATTGTATTTCTAAGGTGTGGTTATGACCGAAGCCAGCGGTCTGTTGAACACTGAACAAAGCTGCACTCTCCCGTCACAGACACACTGTAATGTCTCAGACAGCGCTCTGCAGCTTCTGAGCTTGTGAACTCAGTGATAATGTGGGTATGTGCATCCCTGACTGTGGTTTGTGTCTAAGTACTGCTTACATGACTGTTTAAAGTGCTCATATTCTACATTTTATTCATATTCCAGCATTTCATTTTTTTTTTTCTGTGAAGTCCACTTAAGATGTGAGTCAGGGTTTCTTGCTTTTATGATCAAGTTCCAGTTGTACCTTTAAGACTTCTCTAGATTGGCTGACTGCCACATACTGATGTGCTTCAAATGTTCAGTGAAGAGCTGCTGATGTGTCAATGCTAATGATGATTTCTGTTTTGTTTCAGTAAACAGTCTGAGTGAAATTTAGAGGGAGTTTATGAATGCAAACAGTAGTCTTTCCATTTTCCTTTATATTAACCCTTTTGAGTGTGTGTGTGTCATGCGGGTGGTTCGATGCTGCTGCTGATGGTTTCAGGAGTGTGTGTAATGTGATTTGGGACGGTGAGATAAGCTTATTTAGGGATCTGTGTTAGTAGAGTCTAATTCAATTAGAGCTCAACCTCTGCTTATCCGTCTGTCCTTCCTTCCGTCTGTCTGTCTGTTTATCTGTTCATACAGTACTAGCACTTACATTCATGCTTGCGGCAGCTGCACTGTACAGAATAAAGTAAGCTTTGTTTTAACTTCCACTGGCCTTTTAGTTTGGACACACACACACACACACACACACACACACAGTGTGTTAGGCTACATCGACATTATTCTGGTTAAATGGTCTTCTGAAATGAGGAGGCAAAGTAAAAAAATTTTTTTTTTTCATCAAATGTAAATTCATGTTCCAGTCAGTTAATTATCAATCAGTTAAAGTATGAATCTCGGTTAGTGTTTTTAAACATTTTACTTTTATTCTAAAATAACAGTAACAATTTAAACAATATTTTAATATTTTATTTGTGAATTTATGTTAATCTATTCTTCTTGATAGTTAAGTTCTAACTATTTTTGAATGTTTCGGATCATCAGTTATCAAAGCTCTGTAAATATTGGTCACAGACACGGAGATTTACCTTAAATTTCAGCGAGCTGATTACTCACTACAACTCCCACAGATCATGTTTTCAGGTCAAGTCTTATTTTGACGAGACAGAGTGGTTATATCTAAGTGTGTGAGTTGTTTACTTACTTTTTAAATTAGTCTTCCCATTAACGCTATTATATTGTCCATTCAAACGGATTCAATAATGTGCATGAACACAAGAGGTGGGATTTATCGCATGAACCAATCATAGCCGATCATAACCAGTCATATCCAATCATATTGCGATGGAGACATTGCATCCTGCCACGTGACTTTCCACCATTCATTCTCCGTTACCCCCCACTTAACCCAGCACAGGCTTGAGGGGGTCTGTTCAAACTCAATGGGCCGAGGGGAGGCACGACAGACGCAGACTCCTGCTGTAGCTTTACCAATTTAGAAAAAAACTGTAATTTATACACTTTTTAATGTTATATTTTGTAATATGGCGTTACTTTATTTTTTTACTTCAAAATCCAAAGAAACTTTTCTCATCCAATTTTTATGAGGAGACACTTTATGAGGAAACACCCTGGGTGCAGATGGTTTAAGCAGTTTCAGACATGTCAGTGTGGATGAGCAACTTTTGCAAATGCTTAAAAACACTATGTGTAGAACATTATTAAAACAAAACTATGATATGATATGATATGAAATCATGGACAAACACACGAACACACTCTTCATTCACTCCTCTCATAACTCTGTCCCTGATGGCCATTCCTTACATAGAATAACTGAAATATGTAGATTTTGTCTCAAAGGCCAGGTGTTGATTTTTAAAATGCATAAAAGCCCATTTCAGCACCTGTGCTGGATGCTGTTGCGCTTTGAGCTGAAAACATACTCAAACTCTGTCCATTGTTTCATCCATCCAGACAGACAGTTGTTGAGAGCAGTCGAGGTGAATGCAGTGTGTGTGTGTGTGTGTGTGTGTGTGTGTGTGTGTGTGTGTGTGTGTCTGAACTGATGAAACTTGTCTACATTTGCAATTAGCACTTTGTCTCCGAAGGTTGATTTTGGCGATGATGAGAAATGTTTCACACCCACCGACTGTTCTCCTGCTCTTTTCTCAACATTCAGAAGATGCTAATTATGGTGAATTATGATACCATGTTATTATCACACTCTTCCTCTCATCTGCTGCCTCCTCATTTAAAGCTAGGTGTCATGGAGAGGCAGTGAGGAAGAACAGATCGCTCTGAGATAGAAACAGCACTTTGAGATACAGTCGTGATAAACCTTAGACAGCAGCAGAAGCACATGTGACGGTCACGTGACTTCATGCAGTCCAGTCATCATCATCATGGAAATAAAACTTTTTAGTTCAGTTAGTGTACTGTTGTAATGTGCCTGTCAGTCCAAGAGAAAGCTGCGGCCCGTTGGAAGTGGAGAGTCATGTGGTGTGTAATTGCATGTGTTGAATCATGTGTTTCTCTACAGCTGTCTCTGCTGGCTAACCTGTCCGTGGCTAATCAGTGGTCACTAAAACTCGCCTCTAATGAACCTGTTCACCACATCATGACCTTTGACCCCAGCGACCACAACTACCTGTACCTGATGACCACACACAACGTGAGTACTGCGACCTGCAAGAACTGAATGCAAACATAAATAATATCACTCAGAAACTGTGATCCATCAGTTCATTACATTCTAAGGGTATTTTAAGCCGTGTGATCAGACGCTCTGTTTATCACGTTCAGCCACGAGTGAGTTTGGCATGTGAGAGCGCTGTGTGAATAATCATACTCACTGATGGAGCTGTGAAACTCAGCATATGACTGTGTGTTAGTCTGATGCTCACGAGTGCTTGTGTGTGTGTGTGTGTGTGTGTGCTCAGCTCCTGCGTGTTCAGGTGTCTGCATGTGGACAGTACAGCTCCTGCAGTGAGTGTGTGAGCGCCGGCGATGCCCACTGCGGCTGGTGCACACTGGAGAGAAGGTAAAGCACTCGCTCTCGTCACTCACGCTGCAAACAGACAAATAAAGCAATGATTTTCCTGGATCATGTCTTAATTAGCAGAATATATGGTACTCATATGGTACTCTTTCATCATTGTTGAGCTCTCAAGCATCCATCTCCATTCACTTTCACTGTGTGGAAAACATTTTCATGTTTGAGGGCAGAAAGAAAGTCAAAGGTTTTTGGAGAAGCGGCCCTTTAATGGCACGTGTGGAATTTGTCAAGCTGCATGTTTCAGAGCTCGAGATGTTTTGGGCTGGATTTCCTGTGGAGTTTATCTTTATTCAAGGGTTTTCCTGAATGTCTGGAATTGAAATCAAAAGTCACTGAGTGAAAGGCTCAGACGTTCTCTGCTTCACTCAGTTCTCACATCTATATGTGCTAATATTGCTCTCATGATAGTGGCTCTTTCAAACTGCACTGAGAGACTTTTCATCCCGTCTGTGCGAGAGAGAGTCTGCATACATGATGAGGCCAATACTCTATTTTATTGTAAATGCATTTTATTAAATAAAAGTTTCTGTTGTAATTTGTATTTGATTAGTCAGCCTAACTAATTGGACAATTGGATTACAGTTGAAGGATTTCACATCCATTCAACAAAAACCAAAAGAACTGTTCAGTCTGGTGAATCTGGATGTTTCTCTAATGTCATTGCGGTCTCTTTAAGCTGCTCTTGTATCTTACTGTCATCTCTGATTCTCTGTTTTCTCCGGCTGAGGGGCTAACAGTCCCCATTATAAAAGGAGAGGAGCTCAGTTAATGCTGTTTTAAATGCGTGATCAGTGGGTCTTTAGGAGCAAAAGGTGTCAATAATGCTGTTCCTTACATCATATATATATGATGATTTCATTCAAAGTGTCTTAGACTGCACCATGGTGAGCGGTTCATTCTGTGGATATTGAAACCATGACACCTTTACTGCTGTTTATGATTTATGGATTATAATTACAGACGGAGCATGAAATCTTTGACTGAAAAAGCTTCTAAAATATTTTAGAATAATTTCATATGCTTATTTTTACTAATTTTTGTTAACATACAGCATACTGCTTGTATTGCTTTTAACATGCAACAAACAGAATATGATGTATTTTTTTTTATTAATGAATAATACGATATATGAAAATAATAATTGTAAAATGTGTGAAATCTTGTGTATACACTGATCAGAGTTCACCAAAGCTAAACTAACAGAAGCCTGAGCCTGTGTTTCTCCTGTGTTCACATGCACATGATTGGATAGTTTAGTGCTTTCTGTCTTGAGCGGTGAAGTGTGCAGTGCAGGGACAAGAATGTGTGTGTGTGTGAGTGTGTGTTTGATGTGTGTGTTGTTCCACAGGTGCTCGGTCCAGAAGAACTGCTCCAGCGGGACTCTGGGCCGCTCGTGGATCAGCACAGGGGACGGAGCCCAGCAGTGTCCCTCCATGACCATCACACCCTCAGAGATCAGCCGCTCCGCTCACATGAGGGTACAACACACACACACACACACACACATTGATACACACACACACATACTCACACACACACACACACACACACACATTGATACACACACACATACTCACATACTCACACACACACA